TAAAGGTAATCTGTATTTTCTATTGATGAATGATAATAAATACATGGGTACCTCAAAATACTATTTTATTATTAACAAATTAGATTATTATATAAAAGATAATTTTCTAATGTGTATTTGTAATAATTGTATGTGTATTGAAAATAGGGATTATTTAAAAATTAGATTATTAGATTATTACGTAACAGATAATCTGTATTTTTTAATATCCATATACTTGTTATAAATCACCCACAGAAAAATAACTTCAAATATATATATATATATTTGTTTCGACTAGTTGATACTGTCACCATAAAAACGTGTCTATAGAAAAGCTTTAAATAGACGAAAGGAAATACAGTATTTTAACACTAAAACTACTAAACGAGTCAGAATCACCCATTCTTGAGTTCTCCTTTTAATTATTAAAACGATAACAGATGTTTCTTTGAGAAATTATTACAGACATTAACGTAGCAACACGCAACCTGAATTGTAAATCATTTGAATTCTCAATAGATGCGCTGTTGCAGTTTTCATAGAGAAATTTCAAAACGTCAGTTTAACTGATAGTTTCAGTGTTAAAGAAATTGATTACGCAGATACCCTAACTGAATTATAAATCAATTAAAGTCTCGTGTCTATAGAAACGTTTCAGAAAGTGAATACGACTGCCAGCTTCAGAGTTAACCTCTTTACAATAGTTCAATATTTCAATTATTACAAGTTTTCGAACAGAATTCAACGAACATCAATATTATTCAATTCGTTTGAGTGCAAACTACATACTATTAATATTAATACGATAATCATACCTCAGAGCACACGTTGATGTAAAATAAAACTGGAATGTTTTCTTATTCCCAATAAATTGTTAATTGCAACGCAATGCGAGAAACATGGGGGAAATACGCATACAGGAAACCGTAGACGGTACAAGCATTCGGATACAACATAATGACTTCAGCGTAAAAGAACAATCGCAATGCTGCTCAGAATAGAACACTGGAGACTCTCTGAAATGTGAAATTTGATACTCTCCGCTTATTATTAAACGCATTATCGTTCACTGTTAGAAACGCACGGATATTAGAACAGAGTATCGTAAAGTATCTGTTGCCTAATTAAAAAAACAGAAAGAGGATGTTCAAGAATAAACAAACGTAATAAATTACTCTTCAAACAAAGTTGTGCGAAGGACAAATATCTGACATGATACAAAAGATAGTAAAAAATAAAAATGCAAATAATAAGAAAAAAATGAAATTTTGGAGTTTATTTTGACATTTTTTTAACGAAGAAGCAAAGCAAACCGAAGAATTACATACTTACTTGAAAAGCTAAAGAATCCATTGTTAAAAGAACTAGTACCATTTCAAGCTTTAAAATGTCACGTACAGTAATTAACGCAATTACTTGGTTAATATACATTTTAAAGAACAAATAACGCCCGGATTTCTTGAATTCAATGTAAAATCTTCATCTTTCTCATTCCCTTGCTCTATCATTTATTTATTAACTACAATCGATTCAACCATTTCATTATTAATACTATTTCCACCAAAGCTGTCAATAAACACTTTTTGAAATTTTAACCTAAAATTCTTTTCTCAGTTTAATCACGTCTCCTCAATTGAAATTACATCATTTCTTATATTTAATTTTACAAATATTATTGTAGAAGTGGAAAAGTCAATTCAGAATATACAACTGAATTTGAAAAACAATTTTAAGTTAAAATTTTGAAAGATGTCCTCTGACATCTTCGGTGAAAACAGTGTTAATAATTTTTTGGGAAAAATGCTGTGTTATGATCAGTTGATCATATATTAATAATAATAACAACAATATCAATTAATAATAATAATATAAATTAATAATGATAGCAATATCAATGAATAATAATAACAGTAATATAAATTAATAACGATAGGAATAATCAATTAATAATGATAGCAATATCAATGAATAATAATAACAACAATATCAATTAATAATAATAATAAAATCAATATTTCATTAATAATTTTTGTCTAACAACACGAAATAAGAATTTACAACCAAAATATTTATTTATGGTGAACGGTGGAAAGGATTTCACAGTTACCCGTGTTCGCGGCAGATGGCGTCACCGAGAATCCGCGAGTCACGTGTCGGCGGTCCGAGAATTCCACGGTTATGTTAATGCCGATTTAAAAGGATATTGACGCGATAAATCGTGTTTGATTTGAATGTTTGCCTAACGGGAGATTTAATGTAGCAACCCTATCCGCGCGCGCGCACGCTGTCGTGATCTGGTTTTACCGCGAGCCGCATTCCTTGCCTGATAAGCCTCCGCATAAGGCTGGATACTTGGAGGCATGCCAGACGCCGCGTGGCCCGCGTTAACTCGCGATGCCCACGGCCATTAAACGAACAAGCTAAGTTGAAATATTCCTTTGAAATTCCTGTTATCTTTCAGGCCTCGATAACACCGTCCTAACTGCGCGTTTCGAGTTTCCAAATAAAACCACCCGCCCCGCGATGTCCGTTCTCGTGTCTGGGAACGATTGAATAATGGGTGGGTCAGATTTGACCCGACTTCGTAGTCGTCCGTGATGGAATGGGTAGTGAAGTCAGGTGGAAAGTAACGTGATTGGGTGTTGTTGACGATGATTTGGATGGGATAGTTGATGATAGGGTGGATTAGGTTTTGTAATTGTTTATTGCCACTTGTGCATATATTTCGTTAGTCCCTTGGACTCTTGGACTCTTGAGCTTTCGTTATGGTCTTGGGTTACGTTTCTGAGAGAGGAATGTGATAGTGTAAAATAACTTGCTAATCTTTGGTATGATAATGTGTAAAATGTAGGTTTTTCACGTTTTAGAGATATTTTTGATATATTTTTAACGTGTAGTTTGTATCTGTTTATGGCAGTTATGTTCCAGTTTACTTTTAACACCAATAGCAATAGTATTTAATACTGTTTATTGTTGTTTATTACTATTTATTACTATTTATTATTATTTATTACTATTTAATACTATTTATTACTATTTAATACTATTTCAATAAGATTTATAATAAAATATAATTTACAATAGAATTTATAATAAAATATAATTTGTAATAGAATTTACAATAAAATATAATGTACAATAGAATTTCTAATAAAATATAATTTACAATATAATTTATAATAAAATATAATTCGTAATTAAAACTTATAAAATTTGATTTACAATAGAACTTACAATAAACTATAAACTACAATCAAACTTACAATAAAATATTCACATTAAAGATCTAATAACAATATTTCAATACTAAAATGTATTTAATTCAAAATTTAAAAAATTCTCATTTTCCCGCGTAAAACGTTCAAATCGACCACTGTACTGCGCTTATTAATGAGCATAATTAATAAACGCGTCTCTCGTTTGTTTCATGTTTTCAGGAGAGCCTCGCGGGGGTGGCGTAGCCGGAAACGCGCGTAGTAGCAGCGAAAGAGGACGCATTTCCGCTTCCAGCGGAGTCTCTGATCACGCAGATAGCATGGACAATCCTTCCTCGCGAGAAGATATCTCTGAAATGTACGTTTTCTATTTTATTTACGTCCGAAATAACACTATAGAGCAGTGTCTCCCAACCTCTTCTGTGGCATGTCTTAACTAAGCCTTTCTAAAATTCTTGTGCCACCCTATATAACATATATATCATGTTTAATATTATATTGTAATATTTTTGTAGTATTTATTGTAACATTTTTCTAATATTTATTAAAATATTTGTATATTTTTCTTTTTCTAATATTTAATAAAATATTTTTATAATATTTACAATGTTTATTACAATATTTATTACAGTATTTATTATAATATAATATATTTTTATAATATATATTGCAATATTTGTCTAATATTTATCACAATATTTATTACAATATTTCTACAATATTATTACAATATTTATTACAATATTTATTACAATATTTATACAGTACTTATTACAACATTTGTGTAATATTTATTATATTTTTGTTTTTTTGTTTACACATGTAAATATTGTAAAATATATGAAGTGATATCAAATTCCAAATTGCCCTCCTTAAGAATCAGATTGCCCCCCCTAAGGCGACAGCCCCATGTTGGGAAACACTGCTATAGAGGAAGAATAAGAAATATTCATGGAATTAACACTAACCTAACCGGAAATCAGTCCAATGACCATTACGCATAGTATTAATCACATATATTATCTTGCAAACAATTATTAAAATTTGAAATAAATAGTTTCCCTTGAACACTATAACAGATATCTGAAGAATCTGAAAATAATCTATCGTTACAATTTTTACAGAGATTACATATTAATCGTATTAAATGTTCAGTAGTGTAATGTTAATGTTGTATTTTGTTCATTGAATTTTATATCAATTCTATTGTCGGTTAATTGGTTTTTCAATTTTCCTTTCGTTTCTGTTTCCACTGAGAAAAACTTATCATCTAATTTGTTTGTCTTATTTTGTAAATTTTATTTGACTAGTCACAGTAGAAAATGTGTCGGTATGGTTAGTGTTAAGAATTTAATAAAGTTGCGAGTATATTCTTGGAAACAATTTATCTGCACCGTTGCGGTTCAGATGTTTTGACTGACATGTCATCTGAATTTGGGTGACGCTGTTTTTAATAGAAAGTCAAATGTTTAATTTCTTGGTGATGCGTTGGACTAAGTTTTATTGGATGAAATATGAAGAAGGTAGCAAGCGTAATAATAATAAAATACAATAATAAATAAATATTATATATTATACATTATATATTGAGTATCGTATACTATATATTGTATATTACATATTATATATTGTATATTATATATTATACATTATATATTATATATTATATAATTGACAGAACGTTACAAACATCCAAGTTCCTATTTTTAATGCATTATTTTATCTATTTTAATTTATAAAAAATCAATAATTCATTTCTGTCGACGAAATACTAGATTCAAAGATAAAAGTATTTATTAATTGAAATGAAACAGTCTAAAAATCTATTTTGTAACCAATTTTTTTCCAGTGTAAACAAAAGTTCATTTTGTAACAGATTTCCATAGTTGAAACAAAAATTTGTTGAAAAAGCCTGCGAAGTCTATTTCCTTATTTCTTTAGTGTTCTTCACACTATTTAAAACAGAATATTCACTTGGAAAGTTTGAGTTATGGCAGAGTTATTTTAATTTTAGAATGAGTTGCTCACCGTATAACTCATTCAGTGACGTAAGAGGAATAGGAAATAGATAATGAGTATAAAAAACTTGGTTCGTAGTACTACCTGACTTCACTGCATGCAACGTTAGCTATGAATTCCTGCTGTTAGTTCATCAGATATCTATGGGTAAGAAAATTGTATTTCTCATGGTTGAAAATCAATTTGCCCACCGAACTGCAACGAACGTGTGAGAAATTGTTTCTATCTTCTTTTAGAAAGCAGCTTAACTTACTGATTGCTATATCATTTAGATATGGCACACTTCCGTTTATCAATTTAGATAGAAAAGTAGACATTGTGATTAATACGATGGGGCAACGAATGGTACATACTTGATTAACTAATTAGTCATGTATATTGATGTAACGATGATGTAATCGTACCATTCGTTTCAACTGGAATATTAAATCACGTATAAGATGTATTATTGGACTGCGGATGTTTATGCAGATCTATTTTATGGACCATTTTATGAGAACAGATCGCATATTAATTTTGGAACTTTATGGAGTCGAACATGGAATAATATTCATGATAACACATTCTTTATCTAAACTGATTTTATTCTCAGTGATAGATGCATTTTGTTGTTATTTGCTGAGTTTTATGGTAATAACTTCGTGTGACGTAGCATATTGATCTGCACTTTTTAATATTTTATTAGCAAACCAACACGATTTAATTTCATTTTTAACGTGCAGCTAAATGTTCAATTACTGCACAGAAAATCAACCTTGAAATATATCCACGATGAATTATTAACATTCATAAATGAACGTATTGATCTTCTGTGTAATAAAGTATTTGAAATAAATTTTACCGATGCTGATTTTGTATATAGAACTATTACATGAAATAAATTCTTTTAGTGTACGGTATACAGGAAAATTTATATAATTTGATAGTTAAAACGTTTAATAATGATATCTATTGTCCCGTTATTCATAAATTTCTTTATCTAAATGCGTACGCTTAGTATTAATACAAACATGGGATTCACTTGTTTATTATAAATGCATAAAATCCGCAGTCTACTTATGATATAAGCTATTCATTCGCCAAAATAGTTAATTCCACAGAATAAAAGTTATAAAAATTTGATGAAGCATCATACGTAAAGTACCATTTAAATTTCTTATTAGATTTTAGTAACAGAATTTTTGCAATTAGATACTACGTGCATCTATAATAAAGTATATTTAATAAATTTTGTTTGAGATTAGGCTGTATAAAAGGGTACGTAATTATTATTATTATCTCTCAAGTTAACAAATAACTACACATGATATTTAACACGTTTCATTATAGATGCATGTACTATCGATTTGCAAAAATTCATTAAAATCGGTGTCAACATATTGACACTCTTCCCTTGTTAGTACTGAAATTGAGAAATTAACAAAAGTGGGGTTAGTTGGTTTGGTGTATGAATGTTAATGTTGTGTTCTTACCCAATCGATACCGAATCACTTTTGATCTGTCATGAACAGGATAATAGAATATTGCAATGCTAATGATATTATTTAGTATAAGTGGAGGTAAACTATAAAAATGGATATAGAAATTAGCAATTTATATGTAGTGTTGTATCATATATCATATATTATATATCATACATCATATATTATATATTATATATCATATATCATATATCATATATTATATATTATATATTATATATCATATATAATATATCATATTATATATCATATTATATATCTATTAGATAAAATTAAATCACACTATGATCTGTACAAATTCTTAATTATTAATTTTTCAACAATAGAATAAATCCCCTTAAATTCTGTTAGAGAAAATTAAACCAC